AAATGTTTATTAAAAGAGGAGATTTCGTTCTCCTGAAATTACCCATTCAAATGTTTGTGTCTTAAGTCTTTTGTGGATATTTGAATCAATTTTGATTGACTCAATCATTGAGGCATGCAAGAGAGAGAAAGGAATAAGAAAGAGCATTGTTTTTATGGGAGATGAGTAACACCATTGCAAATGATTTCCCATTACCGAAGTTTGTGTCTTAAGTCTTTTGTATTTTTTTAGAGATTTTAAATAATTTTCTTTAATTTTATATACCCTACACCACAAGGTGGTCAGGGTATTATGTCTTTGGGCATTTGTTTGTAACAGGCAAAAGGAAACGAGATAGACCCATAGTTACTTTTGAGGATCTGCATAGAATCACATTCTGAGGCGATTTATGCATGTCCGTCTGTCTGTCCATGTATTTTTGTGAAAAAAGTACAGTTCGCATTTATTACCCGATCCAGATGAATGATTTTGCCCAAATCATTTGCTTGGTCCAAGGACGAACCCTATTGAAATTGGAGATAATCGGTAAAAATTTAGATATAGCTGCCATACATATCTTCTTCCGATTTGCTCTTTATTGTGCACCAAACGTCTAATATTTGTCCAAATGGGATGGAATTTTGCACATACAACCAAATTAGGCCTGAAAATAAATATGCCAAATTTAATCGAAATAGGTTCAGATATAGCTATAGCTCCCATATATATATATTATTCATCCGATTTGTTATTTTTGTCCTCCGCAGCCGTAATATGCACTCTGTAACAACTATATTTGGGGAAATATATCAAATACAGCTCAGAGATATCTTTGCCAAATTTGATCAAGATTGGTTCAGATTTGGATATATCTCCCATATATAACTTCGTCCGATTTGCCGTTTATTGTGCACCAAACGTCTAATATTTGCCCAAATGGGATGAAATTTGGCACTTACGACCGAATTGAGTCTAGAAGCTAGTATGTCAAATTTGGTGAATATCGGTTCAGATATAGCTATAGCTCCCATACATATTATTCATCCGATTTGTTATATTTGTTACCCACAGCCGTAATATGCCCTTCGTAACAACAATATTTGGGGAAATATATCAAATACAGCTCAGAAATATCTTTGCCAAATTTTATCGAGATCGTTTCGGATTTGGATATAGCTCCCATATACATATATCAAATGGGTAATACAAGTCCGAATTTAAAAGATACAAATGCTTCGGCATACTTTAAGACTTCCTTTACTGTTTTTTATTTTTTTTTATTTTTTTATTAATTTCCCCCACTGTGCCCAACATCTCTTAATAATCTATAATTTCAAAAATTAAAAAAAAAAACTTTGCCATGGTATTTCGTTTTCCAAATCCCCCAGGCGGTCTTGTTAAAAGTCAAACATTATCGCCAGGGATCTTCATAACATATATTCAATTTTTTTCACCTCCACTGAACTAAATATATTCCTCCAACTCCATAATTTCTATGAAAAAAAACACATTTTCAAATTAGAAAAAAAAAACAACAACAACAAATTTTAAGCTGCTAAGTAGCACCTTTTTTTTCGAACGGATGTTTGCCATATAATTTGTTCATTAGCTAATTTTGCACAGAACATATGTGAAACGATGTTGTGAGAAGTCTGTTTTCTTTAGATCATCACCTCAACTGGACTGAGATCTGTGAGTGTGCAAATATTAACGGATCCATTCAAATACAGGTGTTAGTTTGCCAAGGTGTTGGCTTAAATTTAATTTTCGGGAGCAAAACATAAAAGGAAGAGAAAGTGGAACATTTTTGGTTCGCTGTACGGGTAATAAGGAAATATTATTATTTTTTTTTGTTTCGGATAGAAATTTGATTGAAAGAAAACAACGATGAATAATGACTAATTTAATGCTATTAAAATTAATGATTGAATTGAGGAAATTAAATTGGGTTAAAAGCCATTGAAAGTTAGGAAGACAAAATCAGTTTGCTAAAGAAGGGGGGAAGGGGGGGATAAGAAAGTCTTTGAACAGATTATTATAGCCTCAGCCATGTGGCTAGAGAGGCTAAAACGTGCCTCATCGAAATAATCATTATAGACCCTAGGTCTCTTTGGACCAAATCCGTTTCAGGATATTTGGAGTCAATCTAGCGATGTCTCTCCTTTCGTCTGTCTATCTGGCTGGTGGGCACGATAACTCTCAAAGGGAGTATCCGATTTGCTTCAAACTTGGTACATCGTAATATTATTGTCAAACTTAGATCGAGTTCGGAGATGGGCAATATCGGTCTACTCCTTCTAGGACCTCCCCCACAAAAAGTAGAAATTTTCAAAAAAAATATTTTCTGCACAGAAAGAGAAGCGATAATCCGATTTTGCTCCAAATTTGCAAAACCTAATATTTGCATCAATGCTAGGTCAGGTGCAAAAATGGACAATATCAGTCTACTCCTTCTGGTATCTCCCCCACAAAGGGTCAAAATTGCGAATAATTATAACTCTTATAAAATGTGATGTAAGAGTCCGACTCTCTTCAAATTACACAGATCAAAATATTTTTAGCAACCCAAAGTCTGGTGTTAAGATGGACTACATCGGTCTGCTCCTTCTGGTACCTCCCCCACAAAAGGTCGAAATTTCCAAAAAATATTTTTTTGCACAGAAAGGCAAAAGATAATCCGATTCTGCTGCAACTTTGCCAATCCTAATATTTGCGTCAGTGCTAGGTCGTGTTCGAAAATGGAAAATGTCGGTCCACTCCTTCTGGTACCTCCCCCACAAAGGGCCAAAATTTTGAATATCCATGAAGCTCATAAAACGCGAAATTAACATCCGATTGCATTCATACTTGGCACATTTCAATATTACCATTAACACAAGATCTGTTATAAAGACGATAGAGATCGGACCATTCCTTCGAGTACCTTCCTCACAAAGGGTCAAAGTTTTGAATAACCAAAACGATCATAAAATCCGAAATAAGCATCCGTTTCTTTTCATATTTCGCACATCCCATTATTTCTACCAACACAAGATCTACTGTGAATAGGGAATATATCGGCCCACTCCTTCTGGTACCTCCCCCACAAAGGGTCAATATTTTGAATATCCAATCGCGAAATTAATATCCGGTTTCATTCCAGACTTGGTACATCTCAATATTTTCATCAACATAAGATCTGTTATAAATATGGCGGAGATCGAACCATTCCTTCCGGTAGCTCCCCCACAAAGGGTCAACGTTTTTGAAAAACAAACGCTCAAAGAAAGCGGAATAAGCATCCAACTCTCTTCACATTTCACTCAGACAAACATTATTGCTAACTCAAGACCTGTTCTGAAGATGATATATACCTGCGAACCGCTTCTGGTACCTCACCCACAAGGGGTACCAATTGTCAATATTTTTATCTATTATAACTTGTGAAACAAGTCAGCGATTCTTTACAACTTCCTATATCTAAATATATTTCTCTTAACCAGAAACCTGAGATGAATGTAGAATTTATGATTTCGCATAAAATTGGATATAAATGTTCGATTTTCTAGTAATTTTGGTCATATCAATATTTTTTTCTGTTTTAGATGATGTATGAAAATGAAATACTTCGGTCGACTATATGTGGTACCTCACGCACATTATAACATTTTCTAAAAATTATTACATAACTCATATAAAGTGAAGGAAGTAGCTGATATAGCCTAAACCTGGCACGTGGCACTATTTATATAATATTTATTTAGGTCCCATGCGAAATCGGCAGTATTCCTCCTTTAGAACCTACTCCATGGAGGATCAACAATTTAAAAAATCATAACAGAAGTCAAGATACATTAAAATAATCGAACATTGCCTGAGGTATATATCTGTTGGCAAAACCGACTGATACTTTTTAACTTGTTTTTTTTTTTTTTTTTTTTTTTTTGTGATAAACATAAATAAGTTGTATTTTGTTGTATATTTTTTATTTATTTTTATATTTTTTTGTATTCATTGGTTTATTTTTTATAATTATTTATTTTATTTTTTATAAATTTATTTAAATTTGTTACTCGTTATTATTTAATATTTATCACCTAATTATTATTATGTATAAATTATAATTTATTATTTGTTTTTTATTTTTTTCTTTATTTTTTATTTATTTTCTTTATTTTTTATTTTCTTTATTTTTTATTAATTTATTTTATTTTATAAAGAAGCCCCAAGAAAACTCTTTATTCTAATGTCTCTTAAAATTTGACTCTCTTTGCAATCATCTCTGATAAAGAGTAATACTCAGTATATACCGTATACTGCTGAGTTTGCTCAATGAAATGCCTCTTTGCCATAAATGGGCAAAATAATAATAGAATTTTGCAATAACTTTCCTACATTGAATTTGAATTCATTTAATAATTTTTAAGCAAAAATATAATCAAAATAACCTCAAAATTATTTTGTAAAAAACATTTGTAAAAAATTATTTGTATATGTCTGTTTGTTGATGTTTTTCTCATGACAAATAATAAGAGACAGCAACGTGCTGCGTGTACTCTTGCCCATCTATGCTCTTTGCAAACCCTCATCACTCTCTTTCTCTCATTAAATAATAGGCGTTTGTGTCTTAAGTCTTTTGTAATATTTTCGTTGTAGGAGGTAATAAAATGATTTTATAAATTAAAATTAGATAAAATTATAAATAATATTAATATTATTTATAATTAAAAAAAATATTAAATTAAAATATTAAAAAACCCTATTTAAAGGGGAAAAATATAGAAAATAAATATTTTTCTCCATAAGAAAAGTTAAATTAAAAATTTAAAATTATATTAATTAATAAAATTAAATTAATTAATAAAATTAAATTAATTAATTAAAATTAAATTAATTAATTAAAATTAATTAATTAATTAAAAATTAATTAATAAATATTAAAAAATTAAATTAAATAAAATTAAAAAAAATCCAAAATCATTAAACTCAAATGTTTAATAAAATTAAAAAAAAATCTTAAATTTCTTTCCCCCCGCACTCACCTGCTCATCAATTGGGCAACCTCTCTCGTCCAGTAACTGTTGCGTCGACTCACCCAAACCATCCAGAGCAGCACAATCGACAATTTTCAAACCCATGGTACCGGGAACAACGGCCCTTACGGTCAATGTTGTTGCTTGACCAACCACCACTGAACCCGAACCATCTGGGCCGCCCAATTCAAGCCAAATGCGCACTCGAGGTGTAGATGAGGATGCCGATGTCTGATGACCGGCATTTGTGTGTTTGTGATGAGGTGTTAAAGAGGGTGAGGATGCCGCCGCATCGTTATCATTATCAGTTTCACTGAACCCGGCCACATTCAGGTGATGTTTTATCAATGTGGATTTATTGAAAGTATGTGACGTTGTGGCTTGCATGCGACCATGTCTGGAGGGGGAAAACAATAAAACATTAATAATTATATAAGAAATAAAATACATTTTCATTAACATTAAAAGATATAAAAAAATAAATTTAACAAAAATAAAAATATGAGACAAATAATGTATATTTCTTCACCAAATCATAGAAATTTGGCCCCCTTGTGGGGGAGGTACCAGAAGAAGTGGTCGGATATCTATCATCTTCACACCAGATCTTGTGTTAGTAAAAATATTGAGATATGTAATATTTGAAGGGAATCAAATGCTTATTTCGAATAGTATGAGAGATATAATTATTCAAAATGTTGATCCCTTTGTGGGAGAGGTACCAGAAGGAGTGGTCCAATATCTGCCATCTTCACACCAGATTTTGTGTTAGTAGAAATATTGAGATATGTAATATTTGAAGAGAATCAGATGATTATTTCGAATTTTATGAGAGATATAATTATTCAAAATGTTGATCCCTTTGTGGGAGAGGTACCAGAAGGAGTGGTCCAATATCTGCCATCTTCACACCAGATTTTGTGTTAGTAGAAATATTGAGATATGTAATATTTGAAGAGAATCAGATGATTATTTCGAATTTTATGAGAGATATAATTATTCAGAATTTCGACCCCTTTGTGGGGGAGGTACCAGAAGAAGTTGTCGGATATCTGTGATCTTCACAACAGACACTGTGTTAGTTGAAATATTGGGATATGTTAAATTTGAAGAGAATCAGATGCTTATTTCGTGTTTTATGAAAGATGTAATTATTCAAAATTTTGACCCCTTTGTGGGGGAGGTACCAGAAGGAGTGGTCCGGTATCTATCATCTTCACACCAGGTCTTGTGTTGGTAGAAAAATTGGGATATGTAAAATTTGAAGAGAATCAGATGCTTATTTCGAATTTTATGAGAGATATAATTATTCAAAATTTTGACCCCTTTGTGGGGGAGGTACCAGAAGGAGTGGTCGGATATCTATCATCTTCAAACCGAATCTTGCGTTAATAGAAAAATTGGGATATGTAAAATTTGAAGAGAATCGGATGCTTATTTCGAATTTTATGAGAGATATAATTATTCAAAATTTTGACCCCTTTGTGGGGGAGGTACTAGAGGGAATGGTCCGATCTCTACCATCTTTATAACAGATCTTGTATTTATAGAAATATTGAGATGTACCAAGTCCGGCACGGAATCGGATGTTAATTCAGCGTTTTATGAGCTTCGTGAATATTCAAAATTTTGACCCCATTGTGGGGGAGGTACCAGAGGGAGTGGTCCGATATATTCCATCTTCACACCAGACCTTGGGTTAATAATAATATTGCGCTGTTTGTAATTTGAAGACAATCGGACTCTTAGATTACATTTTATAAGAGTTATAATTATTCAAAATTTTGACCCTTTGTGGGGGAGGTACTTGATAGAGTGCACCGATATTTTGCATTTTCGCATCTGACCTAGCACAGATGCAAATATTAAGTTTCGCAAAGTTTGAGCAAAAACGGATTATCCTTTCTCTTTCTGTGCAGTAAATTATTTTCTTTGAAAATATTGACATTTTGTGTGGGAGGTACCCGAAAGAGTTGGCCGATATTGCCCATCTCCGAACTCGATCTAAGTTTAACAATAATATTTCGATGTACCAAGTTTGTATAAAATCGGATACTCCCTTCGGGTATTTTCGTACAAATAATGATAGTATTGTCATTACACACAGTTTCAATAAATCAAAATTAATACTTCTCTCTCTCTCGTTCTCTCTCTCTCTCACGTTTGAAATTAATCCTCTCACATTTAATTTCTCCCTCACACTCACCTTTTGTTATTACCTTAAAATATTTAATTGAACTGTTATTTTCCCATTTTCCCATTTTCTTATTCTTAGTTTTACTCCTTTCTCTCTTTACTCACCTGCTATTGCCCCTCAATTTCCGCTCCTCGTCCATGGACAAATTCATGCCCATGGCATTCTGTGGCAGCGTACACTTAACCGTTCTCAAAATATCCGAACTTTGTCTCAGCTTCTCCTCCATTTGCATCATAATGCGCACCGACAACTCCATCGAACCATCTGAACGTGGTTCCACCCTTACGCCACAACCTGAGGTGGGTAATCTCAAAGTGATATTCGTTTCCGATGTACCCCTGGCCCTACACTCCTGGGGAAACTCTTTGGCATAGAGTAAACCATGAAAGGGCAAATTCATTTCAATATGCATCTCGAAGGAGCTTCTCGAACAATTGGTGGAAATTTTCGCGATTTTATAACGACTCTTTGTGCGATTGGTTTTCGTATCATTTTGTGGTGATGGTGATGCGGATTTTTTGTTTAGTTTTGAAAATCCCGCATCTTGATCTTCTAAAGTGAAATCCATGAGGGGTCCTGTGGGTGGTGGCGTGAGTAGAGTGGCCTCGGAGGCGGACACGGCCACCAGTTGTGGCGGAGTTTCTGTGTGGGCTTCTACCCCCACCTCCTCCTCCCTCCTTTCATGGGAAGCCCAACACAGCTGGCCCCACAGCATTAAAAATAGAAAAAATAATTCCCGCATTTTTGCAATTTTTTTTCTTCTGCTCCAATTCTTGTTTTGTTTTTTCTGTTATGGCTTAATTGCTCAATTAGATAATCTGAAATCCGTTTTTTTCTTTTTGGGGTTTATGAAGCCTATTTTGTGTGGTTTTTTCCCGTTGTAAAGTCTTTTGCAATTTTTTTTTCTAAAATTTTGTTCCGCTGGAATTGTTGGCAAACTCCCGTTGTTATTTAACTGTTTTTTTTTGCGTTTCGTTCTTTTTCTTTTTCAAGCTAAGCTCCGTTTAACCACTTCTGCTGCCTTCTTTATTAGATAAATATGTATTTTTTTTCTAAGTACTTCTTAATGTGCGTTCGACTTTAATGGAACTGCTTGTCATTTCGTCACTTGTTTTATTTCTTGCCTGATTGCATTCCTTCTTTGCTTGGCTGACAAAATGTTTTTTTTTTTCGTTTGCTAATCTGCCCCACACACTTGCTGGTAGTGGCTGGTTGACTTCTTCTTTGGAAAAGCGTGTCTTCTGACAGGCAGCTGGTTTCTTCTTCTGCGGTCAATGTGGCTGGGTAGGGTAAACTGCAAGAAAAAAATCAAACACATAAAACAAGTGATTAATGCTTAGGCATTACCTTCTTTTTTTTTTGAATAGATAATTTCAAAATTCAATTGATTAGTTAACTGGCGGGTCTTTATAAATTTGGATATGTTTTTAATAAATTACCCAAAAGGCCTTAGCCATCAATTTTATTTCATTCCAAAAAAAAAATTTAACACAAATGATTCAGCCCTCAAAAAATTTTTTTCACACATTTAACAGGCATATAAAAATTGTTAATATTTTTCATTATTAACTTTAAGGCAATTAAAAAAAAGTAAAATTAAAAATAAATATTGAAATGCAAAATATATATCATTTTTAAAATTAATTTAAAAAAAATCAAGAAAATATATTTTATTATTATTTTTTAACATTTTTTATTTTTCATTTATTTATTTTTTATTTTTTTATTTATTTTTTTCTTATTTTCATATCTTTTTTATTTATGTATTTAGGGATATTTTTTATTTATTTATTTTTAAAATGAAAAGTTAAAAATACATATTAAAATTCCAAATATTTTCCATTTTTTAAATTAATTAACAAAAAAAAAAATCAAGAAAATATATTTTATAAATATTTTTTTAAAATTTATTTTAATTTTTTTATTTATTTATATATCTATTTTTGTATATTTTTTTTATTTTATATGATTTTTATTTTTTTTAATATTTTATTTTTTTTTTTTAAATTTATTTTAATTTTTCATTTATTTTCTATTTTATTAATTGTTTTTATATTATTATTATTATTATTATTATTATTATTATTATTATTATTATTATTATTATTATTATTATTATTATTATTATTATTATTATAATTATTATTATTATTATTATTATTATAATTATTATTATATTATTATTATTATTATTATTATTATTATTATTATATTATTATTATTATTATTATTATTATTATTATTATTATTATTATTATTATTATTATTATTATTATTATTATTATTATTATTATTATTATTATTATTATTATTATTATTATTACTATTATTATTTTTATTATTATTATTATTATTATTATTATTATTATTTTATATATTTTATAATTTATTTATTTATTTATTTTTGAATATTTTTTTTTATTTTTTTATTTTTAAAATTAAATTAATTAAAATTAAAAATAGATTTTAAAGTGCGAAATATTTTTCATCCTTAATTAATTAATTGAAAATAATAAGAAAACATATTTTATTATTGTCTTTTGCATTATTTTTATTTTTTTTAATTATTTATTCTTTCTTTATTTTTATTATTATTTTTTATTAATTATTTATCTATCCATTTATGCATATCTTTTATTTTTTATTTATTTTTTAATATTAAAATGTAAATCAAAAAATAGTTTTTAAAGTGCGAAATATTTTTCATCTTTACTTAATTAATTAAAATAAATTAAGAAAACATATTTTATTATTATTTTTTTACATTATTTTTATTTTATTTATTTTTTTAATTATTTATTCTTTCTTTATTTTTTATTATTATTATTTATTAATTATTTATCTATCCATTTATGAATATTTTTAATTTTATTTATTTTTAAAATGTAAACTTAAAATTGGGAAATATTTTTCATTTTCAATTAATTAATTAAAAAATCAAAAAAATATATTTTATTATTATTTTTACATTTTTTTAATTTTTTATTTTATCAATTTTTTATAATTATTATTTATTTATCTATTAATTAAAAATAGATATTCAAATGCAAATATTTTTCATTTTTAATTAATTTATTTAAAAAATCAAGAAAATATATTTCATTATTATTTTTTTTATTTATTTTTTATTATTATTATTTTATTATTTATTTATTTATTTATTGCCATTTTATTTTATTTTTTTTTAATTTTTTTACAATTGAATACAAATGATTGCAGCTCCTAAAAAATTCTTTTTCACACGTTTAATAGGGATATGAAAAATGTTTAATATTTTTCATTATTAATTTTAAGGCAATTAAAAAAAGTAAAATTAAAAATAGATATTAAAATGCGAAATATTATTTATTTTTAAAATTATTTAAAAAAAATAAGAAAATATATTTTATTAATATTTTTAAAATTTTTTTTAAATTTTCATTTATTTTTTCTTATTATCATTATTTCTTTTTTATTTATATATTTATGAATATTATTTTTTATTTTTTATTTTTAAAATGTAGATTTAAAAATAGATATTAAAATACCAAATATTTTTCATTTTTTAAATTAATTAAAAAAATTAAGAAAGTATATTTTATAAATATTTTTTTAAAATTTATTTTAATTTTTTCATTTATTTTTATTTTATTCATTTTTTTACTATTATTTTTATTATTATTATTATTATTATTATTATTATTATTATTATTATTATTATTATTATTATTATTATTATTATTATTATTATTATTATTATTATTATTATTACTATTTTTATTTTATTATTTATTTATTTATCTATTTTTGTATATTTTTTAATTTATTTTTTATTATTAAAATGTAAAATTAAAAATAGATTATAAATTGTTTCTTTACATTATTTTTATTTTATTTATTTTTTTAATTATTTATTCTTTCTTTATTTTTTTTTATTATTGTTGTTATATTAATTATTTATCGATCTATTTTTGTATATTTTTTCATTTATTTTTTATTATTAAAATGTAAAATAAAAAATAGATTTTAAAGTGCGAAATATTTTTCATCCTTAATAAATTAATTTAAAAAGAAAATAAGAAAACATATTTTTTTACATTAATTTTATTTTTATTTATTTTTTTAATTATTTCTTTATTTTTTATTATTATTGTTTTATTAATTATTTATCTATCTATTTGTGTATATTTTTTATTTTATTTATTTTTTATTTTTAAAATGCAAAATTAAAAATACGTATAAAAATGGGAAATATTTTTCATATTTTTCAAAACATATTTTGTTATTATTTTTTACATTGTTTTTATTTAATTTTTTTAATTATTTATTCTTTCTTTATTTTTTATTATTATTATTGTTTTATTAATTATTTATCTATCCATTTATGTATATTTTATAGTTTTAAAATGTAAAACTAAAAATATTTTTCAATTTTAATTAATTAATTAAAAAATCAAGAAAATATATTTTATTATTATTATTACATATTTTTATTTTTTTTATTTTTATTTTATCTATTTTTTATTATTATTTATTTATCTATTAATTAAAAATAGGTATTAAAATGCAAATATTTATCATTTGTAATTAATTTATTTAAAAAATCAAGAAAATATATTTCATTATAATATTTTATTTATTTTTTATTTTTATTATTTTATTTTATTATTTATTTATTGTCATTTTATTTTATTTATTTTTTATTTATTTATTTTCTTTATTTTTTATTTTTTTTTTTTTACAATTTTCATTTTATTATGTCTAAACTTGGCCTCAATTAGCTCTGATTTGTTGATACATTATTCATTTCGCGTTTGTTTCTTAAGTCTTTCGTTATCAATATAACAGGAGAGAGATATCAAAGCAAGAATACTCTCTCCTCTCTTTATTGCTCAATTTCTCGTACAGAAAAAATACACGTGCATAGAAATAAAACTACGGTATGACAAAAACTAAAAGAGTGCTCGCGAGGGTAGCATCTCCTCGATTTTAATGGATTTTTGCTCTCACTCAAATACGAGGAAAGTATGCTCATCCCTATTCGAGCAATATCGAAAAATTCCGTTTGCTCGATTTTTTCTCCGATCCCAGGAGAGCTCCCAAACAATTTTTTCGGAGGTCTGATATAAAGAAATTTAAAAAAAATCCCACAGATTTTAAACTCTATAAATTTCTAGAAATTATGATTTAAAAATGTTATAAGTTAACTGAACTCTTGAAAAATATTCTCAATCTTTAATTAAAAGAAATGAAAAATAAATTAAAATAAAATTGAATTTAATTACGTATTTTGTGAAATGTTTCCAAAGATCTTAAAATCTACGAAGTTCTAGAAATTATGATTTAAAAAAGTTATAAATTAACTGAATTTTCGAAAAATACTCTCAATCCTTAATTAAAAAAAATGTAAAATAAATTTAAAGAAATTTATTTAAATTAATGTTTTGTGAAATTATTTCCTTAAAAATCAAAATCTTTCGAACAATGTCATGAGAATCCTGGCAAAATTTCTTATAAGTCCTTGTCAATTTTCTTCCAGAAAATCCCATATTTCCTATTAAAATTTCTTTAAATTATTTAAAATATTTCCGGAAATTTATTTTTTTTGTCACCATTCCTGACCTAAATTCTTTAAAAAAAATTCTCTAAACAAAGTCAAAAAATTTAGGAGAATTCGTACAATTTCATGTACGAATCCTGGCAAAATTTCTTGTAAGTCCTTGTCAATTTTCGTCTTGAAAATTTCATATGTCCTCTTAAAATTTCTTTTAAATTATTTAAAATATTTTCGAAAATTAATTTTTTTATGACCATTTCTGACCTAAATTCTTTAAAAAATTCTCTAAAATTCTCTAAAAAATCAAA